ACCTCGGTACCTAACAACCAGGCACTATCACAGGCTGTAACCTCAGTACCTGACAACCAGGCACTATCACAGGCTGTAACCTCAGTAGCTGACAACCAGGCACTATCACAGGCTGTAACTTCAGTACCTGACAACCAGGCACTATCACAGGCTGTAACCTTAGTACCTAACAATCAGGCACTATCACAGGCTGTAACTTCAGTACCTAACAACCAGGCACTAGTACCTAACAACCAGGCACTAGTACCTAACAACCAGGCACTATCACAGGCTGTAACCTTAGTACCTAACAACCAGGCACTATTACAGGCTGTAACCTCAGTACCTAACAACCTTGCACTATCACAGGCTGTAACTTCAGTACTTGACAACCAGGCACTATCACAGGCTGTAACCTCCCTGTCTGCCAACCAGCACTATCACAGGCTGTAACCTCGGTACCTAACAACCAGGCACTATCACAGGCTGTAACCTCAGAACCTGACAACCAGGCACTATCACAGGCTGTAACCTCAGTACCTGACAACCAGGCACTATCAAAGGCTGTAACTTCAGTATCTGACAACCAGGCACTATCACAGGTTGTAACCTTAGTACGTAACAACCAGGCACTATCACAGGCTGTAACTTCACTACCTAACAACCAGGCACTAGTACCTAACAACCAGGCACTATCACAGGCTGTAACTTCAGTACCTGATTGTAACAGAGTGGGTGATAGCTTGTTTGTTATTAGGCACAAAGCTAGGATATAAGGAAATCAACAAGTTTTCCCAGCCTTGACATTCCCTTTTCCAGAATCTGCTTTTCCCGCCAAAACTTGCTATTGACATCAAACTGAGGTTGTCTGGCCTTGGCCTTCTTTCTAGAAGTTTTGAAATGCGTTTGTTTCATCATGTGACCCAACCTTGTCTTACTAGTGAATACCTTGTTGACGTACCCTATCAAAGCAAACGCAATTCTCTAATCCCCGTGTGGGTTCCGGGGCCCTATTGTGGGAAAAACAAGAATAGACCCACTGCCTCCCCAAAAGCATGTCGTAAGAGTCAACTAACTGGGGAGCTTCCTTTGAAGTCGGAGTGCATCTGCCTGAGAGGCAAGGAACCAGCAGTCTGCATTCAATTGAATCAGATCTGTAAAACTGATGCACACGCAACACTCAGGTTCTGGAGCAGGACTGCAGTCCAGAAGTGGACGAACAACCAGAACTTTACACCAGAGTGTACAGCTGGTGAACACGAAGAAGAAGAAGAAGAAACGCAATTCTACTTGTCTTTTATAAACTTCTGTGACCTCAATTGTCAGTTTAACTACTATATCTGCGTAGAATAGGATGATGAAATCCGATGCACTTAAGATATTTTTAGAAAATCCCACGTGAGAACGTACCTAGTAAACAAGTTGAGACGTGCTAGAATATTCTAGAAGCCGAAGAAACAAATACCTAGCATTCCAGCATCAAGTATAAATAACGAGTAACAAAGCACCAAAAAGCAATTTTTCAGTCCACAAGACTCAAGAGAGCAGAGACCAGTCACATGGACCCTCAAGACAGCCTTCAGTGGTAGAGATGTTAGCCCAACACTAGAAGCCTTCAGTCGTTGAGACTCAGAGGACGAGCGACTAGTCTCAATGATCCTCGATGCCAGCTCAACACTGGAAGGAGAGCAGCCATTCATATGCAACCTCGAAGACAGTCACTGGAGAGCAGACATGAAACGAGACATCTAGCTACAGAGACGACACACAAGATACATGGATCCATGGAGAACAGAGAATATTAGGAACACTATAGATGTGTTAGAGTCAACGCTTAAGACATTAGTACCAAACAGCACTAGAAGCCAGGTGGCAGTTAGAGACACTAGAATCAATTAACAAGGTAACTAGAGATGAAGAACACAATGCGAACCTACGAGTATTTAGCCATAGAGAGAACACAGCGCTATTCAGAATATCATTGATATTGTTGGTGACATTGCTAAAGTATCACAATAAAGACAGTATAGACAAGAACTGTTGTTTCCAGCCATTTTATTATACAAGCATCAGAGTCACGTGAGAAGCATGCAGCTAGCAAGACATCATTATCATCACCATCACTATCGACACGACCATCTTTCTCGTCTATAACTTTCCAATCGACTCCTCCTGTAGCAAACCTAAAGACGAACCTGGGTGTAACATCAACATACGCAACCAAGAAGAGAGCTGTGCTACATAACAAGCAGGCACTATCACAGGCTGTAACCTTAGTACCTAACAACCAGGCACTATCACAGGCTGTAACTTCAGTACCTAACAACCAGGAACTATCACAGGCTGTAACCTCAGTACTATGTGTGCGATATATACTTGCACTGCCTACTACTGCGGATAGGCTCAAAGTTCTACAGGCAAAGTCTTAAATCAGAGTAGCTGCAGACAAGAAGCATTTGGATAAAGCTAAGGGTCACAGACTGAAAAGAGGAAGGCCTTGTATGGCGCAAGATGAAGACACAATTAGACATAGGTGCAGGGTTGATAAATGTGGGTGAGGATAGGAATGGGTCAAAGTGTCCGAGCAAGAATGGGTCTTGTGTAGGGTTCAAATCACGTTAGGTCATGAGTGCAGGAATTGGCCAGCTGGCACCATAGAATCAAAAATTCAACAAATGATTTATGACAATTCCTGCCCAGGTGACGTGATTTATCACTCAGTCGACATTACGCACAGACACAGTGTGAGCAGAAATCACAGTGAAAGAGAGAACTGCCAAACTATGAAAATACATGCATTCATTGACTGCACAATGGAGACTGTATTTACTAAGATAAACAAGTTTTTTTTTTTTTTTTTTTTTTTTAAATTTAAAAAAAAAAAAAATGGAAATCAGAAACAATAATTGTACATTTAACAGACGTGTTTATACAAAGAATAGTTGTACATTTAACAGACTTGTCATCTTTATAGAAACAATATGAGAAGTATCCAAACACCACTTGGACTCAGGTTTTCACCGACGGCTCTGCTACAGATGCAGTCAGAAAGGGGGGTTGTGGGATTTACATTAAACCCCCTAGCAGTAGAGCAGAAACTCTCTCTCTACTAGCAGGTGACATCTGCACTAACTTCAGAGCTGAGGCAACTGCCCTCCTCTCTGCAGTCCAACATCTCATCACTCAAGAACACAGAGGGCACCAAATTGTTATACTTAGCGACTCATTGTCTGCTCTCCAAGCACTATCCAGCAAAAAACAAGACAAAATAATTGCTGATCTAAGGACCAACATTGGCTTACTCTCCAAGGAAGCAGAACTGGTCTTGCAGTGGATACCAGCCCACTGTGGTATTCAAGGAAATGAGAGAGCAGATGAGTTGGCAAAAGCTGGGAGTAATCTTCCACAACCTCATCCACCACACAGCTACAAGGAAACCAAAACAGCGCTAAAGCAGTCTTTCAAGCGGGAGTGGAGAATGCAGAATGGAGATTACAGACCAGAGAGTGACAGCATAAACAAACTCAACAGGAAAGAACAAACATCAATTCTTAGACTTCGGACTGGACACTGTGGTCTTCGAGCACACTTGTACAGGATAGGCATAAAAGAATCTGCTGCCTGTGATTGTGGAGCAGAAAGACAAACCCCTGAACACATACTGCAGTACTGCCCTTACCTCTCCCAGCAAAGACTGTGGATCTGGCCCAAAGGAGCCACATTGCAAGAGAAGCTATGGGGGACCGGTGGCGACCTTAAACGCACAATCCTATTTGTGACCCAGACGGGACTCAATGTTTAGCATGACTGATATTGAACGCAGAAGAAGAAAAAAAAATAGAAACAATAATTGTACATTTAACAGACTTGTTGTGTTTATAGAAGCAATAATTGTACATTTAACAGACTTGTCGTGTGTAATGTTGTGAATTCCCGGGGTAATCCCAGAGAGTTCCCGTTGGGGAGGACAAGGTCAGAAGATGAGCGATACAAGAGGAAAATGAGATAAGCGGGTCTCGAGTATCCCGTGGTGAGTGAATAAGGTATACAAGAAAAGCGTTAGACTGGAACGGAAGACGTGAACCCAGAGAGGGTATTAAAACAGTTGAAGTTCGGACCTAGTTGTGTGCAGTTGTATGTGAGAGTACATCTGACAAGAATGGAGAACTTGTGACCAGGTATAATAGTTCGAGAGCAGAGATAAATGTTTCTTGATTGCCAGTTTCAATATGTACTTATACCGGGTACAATACGTTAGTATGATATTGATGTGTGATCTGAGAGATTTATGTATATTTGTACATTTAACAGTCTTATCCTGTTTACAGAAACAATATTTGCACATTTAACAATTTTGTCGTGTTCATAGAAACAATAATTGTACATTAAACAGACTTGCATGTTTAAAAAAACAATAATTGTACATTTGAAGGACTTGTCCTGTTTATAGAAACATCTTTTCTATGATGGCTAGGAAGTGGTCTCCTGTCGCATCATTTACTGCTGGGGTGTCTTGTCTCATCGCTTACTGCTGGGGTGTCATGTCTCATCGCTTACTGTTGGGGTGTCCTGTCTCATCATTTACTGCTGGGGTGTCCTGTCTCATCATTTACTGCTGGGGTGTCATGTCTCATCGTTTACTGCTGGGGTGTCCTGTCTCATTGTTTACTGCTAGAGTGTCCTGTCTCATCATTTACTGCTGGAGTGTCCTGTCTCATCGTTTACTGCTGGGGTGTCCTGTCTCATTGTTTACTGCTTGCGTGTCCTGTCTCATTGTTTACTGCTTGCGTGTCCTGTCTCATTGTTTACTGCTGGGGTGTCCTGTCTCATCGTTTACTGCTGGGTGTCCTGTCTCATCGTTTACTGCTGGGGTGTCCTGTCTCATCGTGTACTGCTGGGGTGTCCTGTCTCATCGTTTACTGCTGGGGTGTCCTGTCTCATCGTTTACTGCTGGGGTGTCCTGTCTCATCGTTTACTGCTGGAGTGTCCTGTCTCATCGTTTACTGCTGGAGTGTCCTGTCTCATCGTTTACTGCTGGGGTGTCCTGTACTCCTCAGGGGCATCTTAAAGTTGGAGGCTGCCTGATACTGCAGCTGGTAGGCCAGGGCGTGGATTTTAAAGCCATACAGCCTGAAGTAGAAATGTGAAACAGTCAGTCAGGTCAACAACAGGTGAAACAGAGTCAAGTGAAAGACAGGTGAAACAGAGAGTCAAGTGAAGGATAGGTGAAACAGTGAGTCAAGTGAAGGACAGGTGAAACCGCGAGTCAAGTGAAGGATAGGTGAAACAGTGAGTCAAGTGAAAGACAGGTAAAACAGGCAGTCAAGTAAACGACAGGTGAAACAGTGAGTCAAGTGAAAGACAGGTGAAACAGAGAGTCAAGTAAACAAAAGGTGAAACAGAGAGTCAAGTGAAGGACAGGTGAAACAGGGAGTCAAGTAAACCACAGGTGAAACAGAGAGTCAAGTGAAGATTAGGTGAAACAGAGTCAAGTGAAGGATAGGTGAAACAGAGAGTCAAGTGAAGGACAGGTAAAACAGAGAGTCAAGTGAAGGACAGGTAAAACAGGGAGTCAAGTAAATGACAGGTGAAACAGGGAGTCAAGTCAACAACAGGTGAAACAGTCAGTCAATTAAAGGACAGGTGAAACAGTGAGTCAAGTAAACGACAGGTGAAACAGAGAGTCAAGTAAATGACAGGTAAAAGAGAGAGTCAAGTGAAGGATAGGTGAAACAGAGAGTACAGTTAAGGAGAGGTGAAACAGTGAGTACAGTTAAGGAGAGGTGAAACAGTGAGTACAGTTAAGGAGAGGTGAAACAGCGAGTACAGTAAAGGACAGGTGAAACAGTGAGTACAGTAAAGGACAGGTGAAACAGTGAGTACAGTAAAGGACAGGTGAAACAGTGAGTATAGTAAAGGAAAGGTGAAACAGTGAGTACAATAAAGGACAGGTGAAACAGTGAGTACAGTAAAGGACAGGTGAAACAGTGAGTACAGTAAAGGACAGGTGAAATAGTGAGTACAGTAAAGGACAGGTGAAACAGTGAGTACAGTTAAGGACAGGTGAAAGTGAGTACAGTAAAAGACAGGTGAAACAGTAATTTCATTAAAAGACATGTGAAACAGTAATTACAGCAAAGGACAGGTAAAACAGTTAGTACAGTTAAGGACAAGTGAAACAGTGAGTACAGTAAAGGACAGGTGAAACAGTAAGTACAGTAAAGGACAGGTGAAACAGTGAGTACAGTAAAGGACAGGTGAAAAAGTGAATACAGTAAAGGACAGGTAAAACAGTGAGTACAGTAAAGGACAGGTGAAACAGTAAGTACAGTAAAGGACAGGTGAAACAGTGAGTACAGTAAAGGACAGGTGAAACAGTGAGTACAGTAAAGGACAGGTGAAACAGTAATTACAGTAAAGGACAGGTGAAAAAGTAATTACAGTAAAGGACAGGTGAAACAGTGAGTACAATAAAGGACAGGTGAAACAGTGAGTACAGTAAAGGACAGGTGAAACAGTGAGTACAATAAAGGACAGGTGAAACAATAAGTACAGTAAAGGACAGGTGAAACTGTGAGTACAGTAAAGGACAGGTGAAACAATAAGTACAGTAAAAGACAGGTGAAACAGTGAGTACAGTAAAAGACAGGTGAAACAGTGAGTACAGTAAAAGACAGGTGAAACAGTGAGTACAGTAAAGGACAGGTGAAACAGTGAGTACAGTAAAGGACATGAGAGTTACAGTTATCTGCTCTAGAGCAGGTGTGACATCCAGCAGCTGACTGTGGCTCTGCTTCACAGAGAGAAAACAAAGAGGCTGTAGGAGAGATCATGTCACTGTGGAGAGTCTGCAGACACAGACAGGCGAGTGTAAAGAGAGTGTCACACGAAAACAGCTGACTGTTGTGTGATTTCAGGGATGTCAAGTAAGAAGTCAGCAGACTGCCTCTACGAGTAGAAACAGGAAGTTAAGAGCAGACATGTTTTAACGCACATCACACACCTGGGCACAAACTGATTGGCTGGTCTCTTGGGTCGATACTCTGGGTGCACCATAAACAACATGTGAGGGAAGCCCGTGCCGAAGTAGGCCCCGTCAGTGTGGTGGTGGCGTGATGACTTGGGCGTGTACGCATCCTGGCATTTAGGACAATACAGTTTGACCATAGCCTCGCCTGGAACATCGGAGAGTCCTAAAACACAGCAGGTGTGGCACATTTAGAGCAGTGTGTGTTTGTGTGGGGAGGAGGCATTTAGAGCACAGTGTGTGTGTGTGGCTGGGGCATTTAGAGCACAGTGTGTGTGTGTGTGTAGGAACTGGGGCAGTTAGAGCACAGTGTGTGTGTGTGTGTGTGTGTGGGTGTGTGTGTGGAGGGGAGCATTTAGAGTTCAGCATGTGTGTCACACACTATATCATTATCCAGGATATATTATGATGTGATACATAGCAGTGGATGGGAAATTTAATATCTCAAATGGATCAAGTCTATGTTAGATGGTTCAACAAGTCTACTTCTAGACACTACATATAATGTGTCTATGAGTTGTCCACTGTTTCTCCTGACACATCTGTCACTCATTCCATGTTGATGACTCCGGCAGTTGTCCACTGTTTCTCCTTACACGTCTGTCATTCATTCCATGTTGATGACTCCGGCAGTTTTTAACTGTTTCTCCTTACACATCTGTCATTCATTTTATGTTGATGACTCCGGCAGTTTTCAACTGTTTCTCCTGTTCTGTCATTCATTCCATGTTGATGACTCCGGCAGTTGTCCACTGTTTCTCCTGTTCTGTCATTCATTCCATGTTGATGACTCCGGCAGTTGTCCACTGTTTCTCCTGTTCTGTCATTCATTCCATGTTGATGACTCCGGCAGTTGTCCACTGTTTCTCCTGTTCTGTCATTCATTCCATGTTGATGACTCCGACAGTTGTCCACTGTTTCTCCTGTTTTGTCATTCATTCCATGTTGATGACTCCAGCAGTTGTCCACTGTTTCTCCTGTTCTGTCATTCATTCCATGTTGATGACTCCGGCAGTTGTCCACTGTTTCTCTGAGAGACAGAGGGGATGAGTAGAGAGACAGTGGGGTGAGTAGAGAGACAAGATAGAGGGGGTGAGTTGAGAGACAAGATAGAGGGGGTGAGTAGAGAGACAAGACAGAGGGGGTGAGTAGAGAGACAAGACAGAGGGGGTGAGTAGAGAGACAAGACAGAGGGGGTGAGTAGAGAGATAGAGGGGATGAGTAGAGAGACAGTGGGGTGAGTAGAGACAGAGGGGATGAGTAGAGAGACAGTGGGGTGAGTAGAGAGATGAGACAGGGGGAAGGGTGAGTAGAGAGACGAGACAGAGGGGGTGAGTAGAGAGATGAGACAGTGGGGTGGGTAGAGAGACGAGACAAAAAGGGGTGAGTAGAGAGACGAGACAGTGGGGTGAGTAGAGAGACAGAGGGGGTGAGTAGAGAGACGAGACAGGTGGATGAGTAGAGAGACGAGACAGTGGGGTGAGAAGAAAGACGAGACAGTGGGGTGAGTAGAGAGACAGTGGGGTGAGTAGAGAGACAGGGGGGATGAGTAGAGAGACAGAGGGGGTGAGTAGAGAGACGAGACAGGGGGGTGAGTAGAGAGACAAAGTGGGTGAGTAGACAGAGGAGGTGAGTAAAGAGAGTGGGGGTGAGCAGAGAGACAGAGGGGTGAGTAGACAGAATGGGTGAGTAGAGAGGCAGTGGTTGAGTAGAAAGACAGACTTGGTAAGAAGACAGAGTGGGTGAGTAGACAGACAGAGTTAATGAGGAGGCATCCATTTAAGAAGAAAGGGTGTGATTGGGTGGGCATGGATACAAAAGGGGTTGTTGGGTGGTATGCATATATTAGGAGTGTGTGCGGAAAAGCATAGAAGTGCCAGTGTTAGGAGTGGACAGGCATATAAGACACAGTAAGTGGAAATGTTATTATGTATGTTTGTCTGTGTGTATAAAAGATATTCTTTTAGCAGTCTTACAGATATTTGTTTAACTACCACCAGATACAAGACTAATAGAGATGAGTTCAACTAACACCAGATACAAGACTAATAGAGATGAGTTCAACTACCACCAGATACAAGGCTGACAGAGATGAGTTCAACTACCACCAGATACAAGACTAATAGAGATGAGTTCAACTACCACCAGATATAAGACTGACAGAGATGAGTTCATCCACCACCAGATACAAGACTAACAGAGATGAGTTCAACTACCACCAGATACAAGACTGACAGAGATGAGTTCAACTACCACCAGATACTAGACCAATAGAGATGAGTTCAACTACCACCAGATACAAGACTGACAGAGATGAGTTCAACCACCACCAGATACAAGACTGACAGAAATGAGTTCATCCACCACCAGATACAAGACTAACAGAGATGAGTTCAACTACCACCAGATACAAGACTGACAGAGATGAGTTCAACCACCACCAGATACAAGACTGACAGAAATGAGTTCATCCACCACCAGATACAAGACTAACAGAGATGAGTTCAACTACCACCAGATACAAGACTGACAGAGATGAGTAAAACTACCACCAGATACAAGACTAACAGAGATGAGGTTAACTGCCACCAGAAACAAGACTGACAGAGATGAGTTCAACTACCACCAGATACAAGACTGACAGAGATGAGTTCATCCACCACCAGATACAAGACTGACAGAGATTAGTAAAACTACCACCAGATACAAGACTGACAGAGATGAGTTCAACTACTACCAGAAACAAGACTGACAGAGATGAGTTCAACTACCACCAGATATAAGACTGACAGAGATGAGTTCAACCACCACCAGATATAAGACTGACAGAGATGAGTTCAACTACCACCAGATATAAGACTAACAGAGATGAGTTCAACTACCACCAGATACAAGACTAACAGAGATGAGTTCAACTACCACCAGATACAAGACTAACAGAGATGAGTTCATCCACCACCAGATACAAGACTGACAGAGATGAGTTCAACCACCACCAGATACTAGACTAACAGAGATGAGTTCATCCACCACCAGATACAAGACTAACAGAGATGAGTTCAACCACCACCAGATATAAGACTGACAGAGATGAGTTCAACCACCACCAGATATAAGACTAACAGAGATGAGTTCAACCACCACCAGATATAAGACTAACAGAGATGAGTTCAACCACCACCAGATACAAGACTAACAGAGATGAGTTCATCCACCACCAGATACAAGACTAACAGAGATGAGTTCAACCACCACCAGATACAAGACTAACAGAGATGAGTTTATCCACCACCAGATACAAGACTGACAGAGATGAGTTCAACTACCACCAGATACAAGACTGACAGAGATGAGTTCAACCACCACCAGATACAAGACTGACAGAGATGAGTTCAACCACCACCAGATATAAGACTAACAGAGATGAGTTCAACTACCATCAGATACAAGACTGACAGAGATGAGGTTAACTGCCACCAGATACAAGACTGACAGAGATGAGGTTAACTGCCACCATATACCAGACTGACAGAGATGAGGTTAACTGCCACCAGATACAAGACTGACAGAGATGAGGTTAACTGCCACCAGATACTAGACTGACAGAGATGAGTTCAACTACCACCAGATACAAGACTGACAGAGATGAGTTCAACTACCACCAGATACTAGACTGACAGAGATGAGTTCAACTACCACCAGATACAAGACTGACAGAGATGAGTTCAACTGTGATGACTACATATCCAAGACTAAAAGAGATGCGTTCAACTGTGACCACTATATTTCCAGACAGACACAGATGACCTACCAATGGGCAACATGGGCTGATTTTCACAATACACCCGTGGACAGTATCCAAAGTCCCCTTGCTGCCATTTCTCTATCTGTGGACACAGTAGAGGCAACAATTATGTATTACACCTCACATCAACTACTGAAGTGTTTCTATCTGTGGACACAGTAGAGGCAACAATTATGTATTACACCTCACATCAACTTCTGAAGTGTTTCTATCTGTGGACACAGTAGAGGCAACAATTATGTATTACACCTCACATCAACTACTGAAGTGTTTCTTTCTGTGGACACAGTAGAGGCAACAATTATGTATTACACCTCACATCAACTACTGAAGTGTTTCTATCTGTGGACACAGTAGAGGCAACAATTATGTATTACACCTCACATCAACTACTGAAGTGTTTCTATCTGTGGACACAGTAGAGGCAACAATTATTTATTACACCTCACATCAACTACTGAAGTGTTTCTATCTGTGGACACAGTAGAGGCAACAGTTATGTATTACACCTCACATCAACTACTGAATTGTTTCTATCTATGGACACAGTAGAGGCAACAGTTATGTATTACACCTCACATCAACTACTGAAGTGTTTCTATCTATGGACACAGTAGAAGGCAACAATTATGTATTACACCTCACACCAACTACTGAAGTGTTTCTATCTGTGGACAGAGTAGAGGCAACAATTATGTATTACACCTCACATCAACTACTGAATTGTTTCTATCTGTGGACAGAGTAGAGGCAACAGTTATGTATTACACCTCACATCAACTACTGAATTGTTTCTATCTATGGACACAGTAGAGGCAACAGTTATGTATTACACCTCACATCAACTACTGAATTGTTTCTATCTATGGACACAGTAGAGGCAACAGTTATGTATTACACCTCACATCAACTACTGAAGTGTTTCTATCTGTGGACACAGTAGAGGCAACAGTTATGTATTACACTTCACATCAACTACTGAATTGTTTCTATCTGTGGACACAGTAGAGGCAACAGTTATGTATTACACCTCACATCAACTACTGAAGTGTTTCTATCTGTGGACACAGTAGAGGCAACAGTTATGTATTACACCTCACATCAACTACTGAAGTGTTTCTATCTGTGGACACAGTAGGGGCAACAATTATGTATTACACTTCACATCAACTACTGAAGTGACTAGATAATGGTTGGGCAAACTATTCTTGGTCCACGGGCTCAGTTTAGAATTACTAACCTTCTTGTGGCCTATACAGAACAAATGTCTGTGTGTGTACATGTATATTCAATCTAATATTCATGTCCACTGCCACAATGCTGTCCTCATTCAAATCGACACAAAGACTCCTATGATCTAGAAACTTGCGAACCAGAGAAAAACAACAGCCTTAGCCTTCAACTTTATCATCACAGTTGGCTGATAGATCTTCTTTTGTCAAAATCTGCTTGTGCCGCTAGGCGTCGCAGTCTATCAGATGATCGGCAACCGAGCCAGGGCGGGCACAGTCGCTTCATATGCCGTGATGTTATGAAGTCTCAAGTTGTCCGTGACTCCTTCAATCCATCTTCTTCTTGGTCTTCCCCTGCCTCTTGGTGTTTCGATTTTCATGTTGTATGCTCTTGATGCTGGCATCGTTGGTTCCATTCTCATTAGGTGACCAAACCATTTCATTCTTTGCTTCTCAATAAATTTTACAATGGGTATGGTTCCAATAGTTCTTGTAATCACATCGTTTCTCACTCGATCTCTTCTGGTTTTATTCGCAGCCATTCTCAAACATCTCATTTCACAGGTGGTTACTCTTCTCTCGTGTTCTTTTGTTAATGTCCAAGTCTGACATTGATAACCTAATGTCGGTATAAAGATTGTATTTATAATTTGTCTTTTTATCTCAGCTGGGACAGCAGGGTGTTTTAAAATTGGGGCAAGCTGGTATGCGACATTGTTGGCTTGTTGGATTCTTGCTTCGATCTCTCTATTTTACCATTGAATGTAAAGATACTTCCCAAGTATTTAAATTCTTGCACTTGTTTTAGGCTGTGATCTAGAATCTTTATGTCGATGGTCTGTTGCTCTCTACTTATGCTCATGACTTCTGTCTTTTCAGTATTGATCTTCATATGATGCTTGAGGCAACTGTCGTGTAGTAGGTTTATGTGGTCTTGCAGCTGTTTACTATCACTGTGAAATATGCATTGATCGTCGGCAAAGAGCAGCTCATTGAAGTCCTCCTGTTTATCGACATCTGTTGGTGTTATGTCTATTTTATTAATATTGTCCATAAATATTATGAAAAGTAAAGGTGATAATACACAACCTTGTCTTACTCCTGATGTTACTGGAAACCAGTCTGTGATGCCAGCTCTTGTTCTAATGGCGCTTTCACTTTGTCTATAAATAGCCCTAACACAATCTAAAACTGTTCCATTTATACCGTAGTTTTCAAGAACTTTCCATAATAAATTTATGTTTACTCTATCGAAAGCTTTTTCTTGATCTATGAAAGCGATGTTCATTTGATGTCTGCGTTCTATTGTCTTTTCGCTAACTTGTCTTAAAGCAAAAATAGCGTCAGTACACCCTCTTCCTTTCCTAAATCCGACCTGTGATGGGCTCAGGATCGGTTCTACAACAGATCTAATTCGTTGTTCCAGAATTTTGGCAAATATTTTTCCTACGTGGCTTAGAAGGGAGATGCCTCTGTAATTGTTAAATCTTGCTTATTGCCTTTTCTTTTCCAAATTGGGACTATAAGGGCTCTTTGCCAGTCTATTGGTACAATTCTTTCATTCCAGGCTTTCCTAAATATGTGGAGTAGCCAGGTGACTCCAATTTCTCCACAAGCCTGTATTGTCTCGGCTGATATTCCATCAACACCTGATGCCTTATTTTTGGGACTGCATCTGATTCCTTCTCTGACTTCTTGTTCGATTATTGTAGGCTGTTCCTCGTTTGTACATCTGGGTGTGAATGGTACTGTTTCCTCATTTCGTGTTACATTCAGAAGAGTCTGAAAATATTCTTTCCACCTTTCTCTGATCTTGCCCTCCTCATGTATGGGTTTGCCTTGACTATCATTGACATGTTCAGATGGCTGGAATGGTTCATCTCTAGTTCACATTTTTGCAATGGTTTTGTAAAACTGTCTACTAGATTTAGCACAGATTTTGGTAAGATTTTCCCCATACATGATCCAGGATGTTTCCTTGGATTGTTTAATTTCTCTTGCAGATTGTCGCCTGGCAATTCTGTACTTGATATAATCGTCATCTGAGCGGGATCTTAGCCATTTCTTGTATTGCTCCTTTTTACATTTCACTGCTTGTTTTACGTTATCATTCCACCATGCTGTTTTTTTCCTGAACGTTCCTCCTGTGTATCTAATACCACCGAGTGTTGTTAGGCAGTTCAGAAGAGTGTTCTTACATTTTTGCCACGCAGCTTCCACATTGTCACTTGATGTTATTAGCTCAGCCATCTTCAGCGTCATTTCTGCCTGTACTTTTGCTTGGTTGTCTAGATTGCTTAGGTGTCTTATGTCAATCATTGAGGTACGTACTGATGTTTTTGGTTTTTTTGTTAATTGTTGCTTCGCTTAGATATACGATCAGCGGTCGATGGTCTGTTTTTAAAGAGATGTTAGGAATTACTCTTGCGTCTTTTACTAAGCTTCTTCTCTTTTGTCGATTTAGTATGTAGTCCAACTGTGCGGCCTGGTCTGGGTTGCTCCATTTATACCAGGTGTTTATTTGGCTTTGTCGATGCTGATAGAAACTATTGGTGACATAAAGGCCATGCTCTGCACAAAGTTCTAAAATACGCTGCCCGTTGTAATTGCAGACTTTGCTGTTGTCTGAGTGTGGCCCGATATATTCCTCCCACTGTGTTCGCCTCTGCCCTATATGCCCATTTAGGTCACCTATTACCATAAGATCATCATTTGCGTGTATCTGAATGATGACATCCGACACTGAGTCAAAGAAAATATCTTTCTCTTCCAAGGTGTAACCATCATTGGTGGGTGCGTATACCTGCACAATGCTTGTATTTCTTGTTTTCCCGTAGAGTTGCAATACTATAATCCTTTCAGATACATATTCTATATTCTTTACATGTTTAGCGATATCCGGATGGAGAATAAAACCAACTCCGTGAGTCGCTCTCTGCTCTTCTTAACGCCGCTCCAAAATATGACATAGTTGTTATGAATTTCTTTTATTATGTTGCCTTTTTTTCTGCAATCTGATATTCCCATTATATCGATCTTATGTTTCATCATGAATTCTACTATTTATGGTTCTTTAATTGTGAGACCACAAACATTCCATGTTCCGATTTTTGTCGCTTGGCTAGTTTGTTTACAATGAGTGAGAGATGGCTGACCTGTTCTCGAGCCCTGATTGTTGTTACGTTTGATGGATTTTCTAATCTCATATATTGTTTCTAGAGCAGATTTTTGTGAAGATAGATACTCTCTGCTAATGTCTGAGATTATGTGTTTCACTAGCAGGATCAAAGATGTCCAGACACCAATTTCTGGTCATACCCTTTCTGGATGCTGATATCTGGGTTGTTTTATTTCTGCACATCAACTTATGTTTTTGTCTTCTTCTACTGTGTGAGCTCAAGAGCCAGATTGTCCATTAATTTTACACCAGCCATGCAGGCTGGTGAGCCAGTTTGTCCAGTAATTTTACACCAGCCATGCGGGCTAGTGAGCCAGATGGTCCAGGAATTTTACACCAGCCATGCGGGCTAGTGAGCCAGATTGTCTAGTAATTTTACACCAGCCATGCGGGCTAGTGAGCCAGATTGTCCAGTAATTTTACACCAGCCATGCGGGCTAGTGAGCCAGTTTGTCCAGTAATTTTACACCAGCCATGCGGGCTAGTGAGCCAGATTGTCTAGTAATTTTACACCAGCCATGCGGGCTAGTGAGCCAGATGGTCCAGGAATTTTACACCAGCCATGCGGGCTAGTGAGCCAGATTGTCCAGTAATTTTACACCAGCCATGCGGGCTAGTGAGCCAGATTGTCCAGTAATTTTACACCAGCCATGCGGGCTAGTGAGCCAGATGGTCCAGGAATTTTACACCAGCCATGCGGGCTAGTGAGCCAGATTGTCTAGTAATTTTACACCAGCCATGCGGGCTAGTGAGCCAGTTTGTCCAGTAATTTTACACCAGCCATGCGGGCTAGTGAGCCAGATTGTCCAGTAATTTTACACCAGCCATGCGGGCTAGTGAGCCAGATGGTCCAGGAATTTTACACCAGCCATGCGGGCTAGTGAGCCAGATGGTCCAGTAATTTTACACCAGCCATGTGGGATAGTGAGCCAGATTGTCTAGTAATTTTACACCAGCCATGAGTGAGCCAGACTTTCCAGTATCGTTACACTAGGTATGCTAGCTAGTGAGCCAGACTGTCCAGTAATTTTACAGCAGCCACGAGGGCTAGTGAGCCAGACTGTCCTGTAATTTTACACCAGCCATGAGGGCTAATGAGCCAGACTGTCCAGTGATTTTACACTAGGTATGCTAGCTAGTGAGCCGGACTGTCCAGTAATTTTACACTAGGTATGCTAGCTAATGAGCCGGACTGTCCAGTAATTTTACACTAGGTATGCTAGCTAGTGAGCCGGACTGTCCAGTAATTTTACACTAGGTATGCTAGCTAGTGAGCCGGACTGTCCAGTAATTTTACACTAGGTATGCTAGCTAGTGAGCCGGACTGTCCAGTAATTTTACACTAGGTATGCTAGCTAGTGAGCCGGACTGTCCAGTAATTTTACACTAGGTATGTTAGCTAGTGAGCCAGATTGTCCAGTAATTTTACACCAGCCATGTGGGCTAGTAAAAACTGCTTGGTGAGCAATGTGTCTGTCCGATCTCTGTCATGGGGCCATCTCCCAAACGGGAATCAGTATAACTATGAAACTTGCAGACCTCATTCAGGCTGCAATGTGTAAAATCAATGTGCTATATACAACCGAAGTTTGCACATATTTCTGATAATTAATGCAAAAAATCACAAAAAGTTAACATTCACTGCAGTTATTTCTTTTAAAACCTATCTATTGTTTTACATCCCTTGAAGATACTTTTTTTAAAGGTCCCTTGAAGAATTAGTTTTGAAAAAATAACACATTATATTTAGCTGTTTTCTTCCTTCATGCTCGAAAGGAGGGGAGTGTCTCTGGAATAAACAGGCTTAGATCTGACACAGATCCCGATGTCTCTCATTGCCTTAACATATAAAAAACATGACTAAAAGTAAGTATCTTCTATACTATTCTTAAGACATATTAATGTTATCCCAGATCACTTTAAACAACCCCAAAGATAGATTATACAATGTGACTATACATGTACAATAACAGTAACTGTCATGTTGATAATTATCAGATGAATCTGTGCTGTACTGGTTAGCACTATTGTCTATCACCAGACAGGTCGTAGGTCCAATCCCCATCAGAATTTTTTATTTTTACTATACCTGCTATTGTAATGGTTAGTGTAACTGTTTTTGGGGGCATTTTTCAGAATGGATGGTTGAAGTTTTGAGATAAATAAGTAAAAAAAAGGTAACTACAATTATTATACTGATTAAAGCGGGTGCTGCGACAGCGTATTGGTTAGATGTATGTTTCCCACTGTGGGTGCTACCAACCCACCAGGGGAGGGAGGGTGCCGGGACAGTAGCTTGGGGAGGGGGCTGTCAACAGTCCCAAATGTAACCCCGAGTCGTGGCCCGGAATAGAGAGGTAGGAAGCTCCTAGACCAGTTCTTCCCATAGTGAGAACATGCTGTCACACAATCTTGTCCTAGAGATCGGCATACACGTCTCAGTTCTGTTTGTAAATGTATCATGTGTGTATCACAGCACCAGCTGCTTGTGGTAGAAAGACAGTAAAGTCAGAGTTTATAAAGATCTCACATCTGGACGAGGCAGGGCAATTATGGAGATCTTAGATCTGAACTAGTCACAGAGTACATTACAAAGATTCTAAGTCTGAACTAGCAGCGGAGTAAATAATGAAGATCTTATATTTGGACTAGCAGGAGGGCAGCAATGAAAATCTTATATCTGAACCAACAGCAGGGAAAATTTGAAGTTTACTATCTGAACCAGCAGCTGGACATTTATGAAGAGCTTATCATCCAAATTAGAGGCACGGCAGTTATGAAGAGCTAACCATCTTAATTAGCAATAGGGCATTTATGGAGATATTACCATTTGAGCGATGCCCCTGTTGGTCATGATGTAGCGAGCATGAATCAGACCATACAACATCTCTGCTGCCTGCTCGATCAGGTCACTCTGGTTGGGGTTTTCTTCCAGTTCATCATCTGTTCAATCACAAGTATTGATTAGTCAACATGATGTCCCACTATTCACATACAATTATATCAGCTGTTAGTAATGATGGTTGACCTCTTAGAACATCGCACCTGTTTACACTAACAGCCTTGAGTGGGCATTGAAAATAACTACAGCACTGCCAAAATATACGTCTTCATTACCTGACTGCTGACTCCTTCTGGACTGATGATAGATGTGTGTGCTGACTGCTGGCAGAGTCCTACATGACTGTTGATAGATGTGTGTGCTGACTGCTGGCAGAGTCCTACATGACTGCTGATTGATGTGTGTGCTGACTGCTGGCAGAGTCCTACATGACTGTTGATAGATGTGTGTGCTGACTGCTGGCAGAGTCCTATGTGACTGTTGACAGATGTGTGTGCTGACTGCTGGCAGAGTCCTACATGACTGCTGATAGATGTGTGTGCTGACTGCTGGCAGAGTCCTACATGACTGCTGATAGATGTGTTTACTGACTGCTGGCAGAGTCTTATATGACTGTTGATAGATGTGTGTGCTGACTGCTGGCAGAGTCCTACATGACTGTTGATAGATGTGTATGCTGACTGCTGGCAGAGTCCTACATGACTGCTGACAGATGAGTGTGCTGACTGCTGGCAGAGTCCTACATGACTGCTGATAGATGTGTGTACTGACTGCTGGCAGAGTCCTATATGACAGTTGATAGATGTGTGTGCTGACTGCTGGCAGAGTCCTACATGACTGTTGATAGATGTGTGTGCTGACTGCTGGCAGAGTCCTACATGACTGTTGATAGATGTGTGTGCTGACTGCTGGCAGAGTCCTACATGACTGTTGATAGATGTGTATGCTGACTGCTGGCAGAGTCCTACATGACTGCTAACAGATGAGTGTGCTGACTGCTGGCATAGTCCTACATGACTGCTGATAGATGTGTGTACTGACTGCTGGCAGAGTCCTATATGACAGTTGATAGATGTGTGTGCTGACTGCTGGCAGAGTCCTACATGACTGTTGATAGATGTGTATGCTGACTGCTGGCAGAGTCCTATATGACTGTTGATAGATGTGTGTACTGACTGCTGGCAGTCCTACATGACTGTTGATAGATGTGTATGCTGACTGCTGGCAGAGTCCTACATGACTGTTGACAGATGTGTGTGCTGACTGCTGGCAGTCCTACATGACTGTTGATAGATGTGTGTTCTGACTGCTGGCAGTCCTACATGACTGTTGATAGATGTGTGTTCTGACTGCTGGGAGTCCTGTTTGCTGACAGAGAAAATCCTACATGACCTGATAGACGTTTTAACTCAGGCCGACCTCTTTTCATTTGTGTAATTAATTATCAAAAAATAATTTGTTAGAAATTTTTTTAATAATTTGTGTAAGTAAACCTATGTTTTAAGTTTATGTTTTGTTCATTTTAAATATGTGTGTGAATTCATACTGTACAGTGTACATGATTTGATTTTTTTCTGCAGTTGAGTTAGACATTATAAATTGTTTCTCAACATGTGAACACCATTTTTATTTTTGGACTTCCTCTTTCCAGAGTAAATTTTTCAAATGTACAGTACAATACAATAGGAAATGTACAGTACAATACAACAGGAAACGCACAGTACAATACAAAAGGAAATGTACAATACAAAAGGAAATGTAAAGTACAATACAATAGGAAATGTACAGTACAATACAATAGAAAACTACAGTACAATACAATAGGAAATGTACAGTACAATACAACACAACAAGCTATGTAAGAGAACAGACACCCAGAAAGAGCTTTTTAAGAGAAGAGACAGACACAACAAGCCATGCAAGAGAAGAAACAGGCA